CAACTTAATGCTGCAAAGCTTAAGATCCATTTTCAGACACCGCTTAGTTCACAGTAACGTTTTTTCCCAATTCGATAATGCGACTTTAGCACAGGGATCATGGTTTACTACAAATTGTATTAGAGTAGCAGATTTAACTATTTACAGCGTGACCTTTATTTATATTAGGGTCACCTTCCGGAGCTGTGGCTTCTCANGTTCTTGTAATATCAACTTAATGCTGCAAAGCTTAAGATCCATTTTCAGACACCGCTTAGTTCACAGTAACGTTTTTTCCCAATTCGATAATGCGACTTTAGCACAGGGATCATGGTTTACTACAAATTGTATTAGAGTAGCAGATTTAACTATTTACAGCGTGACCTTTATTTATATTAGGGTCACCTTCCGGAGCTGCGGCTTCTCAAAGACAATCTTTTTCGATTACATTCACTAACTATTTTGAAATTATACAATACAAACTGTTCTCTTACACTTATCACGAATCTGCTTTTTACACGCTTTATATTAGCTTCACTTGTATGTATGTTTGTAACTGACTCCTTTAGACGCGATTTTTAAATTTTTCAAAACAGCATTAAGTATACAAGTAATAAAGTCAGATATACAAGTAAATTATAATGTTTTAAGTAATGCACTCAACGTAGCTTCACGTCGAGTGCACCTCACGGGGCGAGCTTTTGCCTTCGAGGAATCGATTATCCGCCGACGTCTCGCATTCCTCAGATATCTCTTGATCTCAACGTTGGTATGACGAGGTTTATTAAATGTCGACCAACAGCAAAGGCGCTTTGAAACGCATAGTTTTCTCAGCTCCTTGCTGTTTGCGAACTCATTCAGTATCGGAGCTTTTCTTCGTATAATGTTTTTAATCACTAAAATTTATATCGGTATTTATTATAGTGTACGCAACTTAGTAAAGTAGTATCTTACGTAGATGTGTGAACGAGCTCGTGGAGAGTTTGGATCAAACGCGCAGTTCGCGAGGTCTCAATTTCTTTGTATTAGAACTTCAAATAATAATACATTGAACGCGAACGCAAGAATGTTTCGCAATAGAATTCGAGAAGACGATGGTACTAACCCATGTGGGTTCAGAATACCCTCTTCATCACTAATTATGCAAATTTAATAAATTCTGCCGGTTCGATTTTTATTGCACAATGTTATTCCCTTATCGTGAAATTCGTTCGTGAACACGTTACACCTAGCCGCATGGACCTGCATACGGAATTTGGACTTTAGGAGTTTTATTAGACGTCTTCTTTTAATAATCTTCAACCGGATATAATTTATGTAAAATTTAATACAAGGACTGCTTTAAACTGGAGTTTGTTTCTAACTTTTTTTTTTATTGCCTTATAGGCAGACGATCATACGGCCCACCTGATGGTGAGTGGTTACCGTCGCTCATGGACGTCAGCAATGCCAGGGGCAGAGCCAAGCCGCTACCTACTGTTTAATACTCTCCAGCCTCGTTTGAAGAAGGACATGTCATAGCGCTCCGGAAACACCGTGGAGGGGAGCTCATTCCATAGCCGGATGGTACGTGGCAAAAAAGATCTCTGGAAACGCACTGTGGATGACCGCAGTGGCTCCAGGTAGTATGGATGAACTCTAATCCGGTTGCGGGCGGTGCGATAGTAAAAGCAAGATGTCGGTATCATCTCGAACAATTTCTCAGAGCGCTCCCCTGTAACTGTAAGTGTTTTTACAATGTGCTGCCTCTGAAAGGATCTCCCTCAACTTAATTTTCAATTTCTCATTAGATCCTTTATTATGATAACTTTGAATGTAAGAGCACAATAGTAAACATTATCTTGCCAAATCCTTGTGTATCGAGTTTTGAAATCGCTTAGCATTGTTGTCTTTTGTGTTTGAGATCGCATTCGTTTTCCATCGTACACCATTATTCACATTAAGTGGACAGATCTCGGGTCAGATCCAGGCAGAAGAAAAGCACAAAAAGTTCCCGCTTTATCCGGGCATGATAAATCTACTTCAAATCCAAGAATAGCGTCTTTTATGAAGGAAATTGAAATAAACCGACCGTGCGGATAACGGCTAAGTAAGAAGATCGGTAGCCTTTTAGAATATATTGGTGAATCACTTTCATTCATCGAAAAATACCTTAAGTGAGGCTTGATCGATTCAACCGGGAACATTTGGTAAATGTTTTAGGCCAAAGAAACAATGCTCGTTTTTTTTTCAAATGTTTTATTTTGTCTCTTACTGAAATATCTTATTTTCAACATATATTTACCATAATATGTATTGAAGATCAATTGTTGTTTTTTACTAAAGGCTTTTATAAAACATCAGACTGCTAATTATCAAGGTCAGACAGAAGTAATATATCAATTGATAAATATCAAACTATTTACCGATGTACCCTGATATTTAGTATTAAACTAGGTATTCATAATGCCCCTATTTAATTTAATACACTATTAGATTATTTACTACTAGATCCTAGAACAATTTTCGAGTCTAGAAAATGAAGACAATACAATACAATTCCTTCAACGAAAGTCTTAGATCACGAAACCAAAACAACAAATGCGACCCAAACTAAATTGCGTTTTATTTAACCGATCACTGGAAAGATACATCCTTATTTTAGTGGTGGGAACAGAAATCGACCGTGAAATGGTTACCACGTTTGGCTGTCTCGCGAACAAACGAAATATGTAGGTACCGGTGGATAGTCATTTGGCGTCTGAGCGTTTGGCGGAAAATTGGCTATCGTGTTCCGATCTACGTGTATAACAGAAATGCAATTTATTTTTGCAAATTACTAGAAGGTGTTTTGTTCAATGTTAAATAAATATACAGAAACACATTTTTTCGCTTCAATGAGTGGTGCTCTAAAAACTACAGTAAACAATTTTCTAAAATTTTCAATTATTATGAAAAAATAAGTACTGGATTATTTTAATGATTTTTTTTTTCATAAGCAGAATGAATGATAAATAAACATGAAATATCTATGTTTTTTAATCAGGAAAAAGTAACCTATTTTTCACTATCCTAATTAATAAGAAACAAAAAATTCACATGGTACTTATTTTGCGGGATACGATATTTCTTGCATGTCAATTGATTTCTGACATTTCGTATTACCTACATGAAGTTTTACTACATTCTTTTAGGCGTAATGGCGGATTTACTCGTATGAAGTAGTAAAGTAATTTAACAAAATTGTAACACAATTTTAAGTTACTTAATATTTAAATGAACAATAAATTAAAGAAATAATATAAAATCTAAAATTCGGCTATGAACGGCATATTTTACAGATCAGAGTTATCCTATATACGTATTGGCCATACATGATATATTATTTCTATATTCTGCATTTTTATTAATTTTTAATTTTATGATTACATTAATTACTCACATATTTATTACATAAATTTTTCCTTCTTAGTAAGTTTATCTAGGTTTTTAATCGTTCACGCTTCGACTAATTAGTCGTTGAACTCAGTGAAGAAGAATCGTTGACTTCGTTTCAAAATTTCGCGTCATTAGATATCTATTAGTGAATTCATGACTTCTACTAAATCTACGTTATCAGTTTTCTACTGACCTAAAAACGCCAATCAAACCACATAAGTATTATTTTATAGGCGGGTATTCTGGACTGCAGTTTGTTAAGATGACTTGGACAGTAGTGCCAACCATTTTATAAACTTTTTTACTTTATTGTTGCTTAGATATGTGGGCGAACTCACAGCCCACCTGGTGTTAAGTGGTCATCGGAGCCCATAGACATCTACAACGTAAATGCCGCCACCATAACATAAATGAGTTCTAAGGTGTAAGTTTTTACAGTAAAACGGCTGTCCTACCCTCAAACGCATTACTGCTTTACGGCAGAAACGATCAGGGTGGTGCTAACTACCCGTGCGGATTCACACGAAGCTCTGCCATCAGTACCAAATAAAGTAAGTAAAAAGAATAAATATTAACAAAATCCAAATAAAGGCTAAACAAAACAAATATTGAAATAAAAAAATACAACAAGATGTTAATACTTATCTGTCGCCTTGACCGGGATGGTCTTATCGCGGAGATGAAACTCCAGGTCAAATAAACTATCAGGCATCGGGAAACTGCTAGTTCTATTTGTGTTTAATGTAAGGTCAACGTGAATAATGAGTTCCTAAATATTACATCTTAGTTAACTCATAATTTTCTACTTTTGACTAACAACAACCTGGTAGTGTAGATTACGAAAACTAAAATATTCGAAAATTTTAGAAATAGTAAAACTAAAAGATTAAATATTAAAAGTCGTCGTGGCCTAACGGATAAGACGTCCGGTGTATTCATGATGAAGCGATGCACCGGTGTTCGAATCCCGCAGGCGGGTACCAATTTTTCTAATGAAATACGTACTCGACAGATGTTCACGATTGACTTCCACGGTGAAGGAATAACATCGTGTAATAAAAATCAAACCCGCAAAATTATAATTTGCGTAATTACTGGTGGCAGGACCTCTTGTGAGTCCGCGCGGGTGGGTACCACCACCCTGCCTATTTCTGCCGTGAAGCAGTAATGCGTTTCGGTTTGAAGGGTGGGGCAGCCATTGTAACTATACTTGAGACCTTAGAACTTGTATCTCAAGGTGGGTGGCGCATTTACGTTGTGGATGTCTATGGGCTCCAGTAACCACTTAACACCAGGTGGGCTGTGAGCTCGTCCAACCATCTAAGCAATAAATAAATAAAAAATAAAAAAACAATAAACCGTTAATAATAATAACTAAATTTTAATTTACATTAATAACTTGACAGCTTGGTGCGCGTAAATCAGAATTAATTCCCTTCAAAGAGAACAAATTCAAGATACATTGTGACTTTTTGAACTTGTTGTGACTTTTTGTGACTTGTTGAAAGTCATATTTGTATCATTATTGTATTATGAATTTTAAATTTCATATTTTTAATGACAACTCTACAACAGAAATCCATTTTTTCGCATAAATTTACAGAATGGCTAATTTAGCAGGTCCAGGAAGCATTAAAATGAATAATGAAGTGGAATCAAAAAAAATACATAATGCTTTATCTGCAATCGCTAAAGAAATGCAATCGTAAGTCTAATAATATAACAACAGTAAAAAAGGCGTAAAAAAGCCGTAAAACTAGTTTTAATAATATTTACTATTCGCCAAGACCAAATAAATCATACCGGATTCTTTGGCTGATTTAGAATTTTCAATTAATGAAAAATAGTGTGAGGCATCGTAACAAACAAGAAAAAAAGGAATAACAATTAAAAAGGCTAACTAAAGTGGAGTAATATAATATAAAGTAGCGATTTTTGGAACGAAGTTCCTTATGGGACGACGCGGAGGGGTACCATAACCGGGAAAAAACGTCCGTAACGTAAGATTTTTAGTAGTAATGCACACAATGTACGACTTAACTTTGTAATAACGTACAAATTAGTAATGCACACAGTGTACGGCTTAACTTTGTAATAACATACAAAAAATAACATATTTTTTTATCATTCATTGATCACGATCTCAGAGCGTTCGTTTGCGCAATACACTAACTCTTACGCAAACAACCGTGAATGAAGTGTACCACAATAAGTTCGCACGTTACCGAATGACCGTGGGTTGTTGCGAAACCTCCAATTTTATTTTCTTTATACCTCTAATAGAACTTAAAATTAACATATTTATAATAAGGAACTTCGTTCATATCCGGTGTCCCACGACACCACACATCTTTTTTTATTATTATTTTCGGTTTGTATGTAAACACATATATCCGAAACGGTAGAAAGGGGCTTAGCTCTGCCCCTGGCATTGCTGAAGTCCATGGACGACGGTAATTACCCAATATCAAGTGGGCCGTATGCTCGTCTGCCTACAGTGGCAATTAAAAAAAAACCACCCGGCGAATATTCATTTCTATTTAAACTCCTAAGTAATTGAAAATAATGAGTATTTAATACACGAAGAAAAATTAATATCTTTGTAAACAGAATATTTATTATTAACGTTGTTATTTATTTTAATACTAGTTATTACAAAATTAAACATACATATATATATGAAATACATTAAAAATACAATGACAATGACACGCTATTTAGAAATGTAATGTTTATTATAGTTGTATCACTCGATACGAGTAGGTATAGTCGACATTTTACCAATTAATTAGTCCACGCATATTATAAAATCAGTAACTTCTTACGACTTTTAGCTCAATGGATAAAATGTTCTACATTTAAAAGAGCGTAGATCCGGGATTGATTTCATTTAAACCTGTTTCTTTTTTTCCAACACATGTCTTTTTTTAAACTTATTGCCCTTATAATCAAACGAGCATACGGCCCACCTGATGGTGAGTGGTTACCGTCGCTCAAGGACATTGGCAATGCTAGGAGCCAATTACAACAACAGGGGGCCAACTGCCGACTGCCAAACTTGTGTACGTAATACATATTATGTAGGTTTATGTAACATATCTACGTAATAAGCAAATAATATACAGATGTACGTAACTTGAAGAATATTTAAAAGCCAATTTGTTATAAATTTCTTCATTGCTAATAATGACAAAGTTGATGTTATAAAGATTAAATAATAGCCGTCTCATTTCCTATTGGGTTCAACAAGACAAGTATACTCCTTTTCATTTTAGTAGGTATAGCAATATATTAATAAATTTAATTGCCAATTAATATTCTACGATTAATTTATATTAATATTCAATTAATATTAAGGCCTATGTCCAGCAGTGGGCAGATAAAAGCTGATGATGATAATGATGATGAATATTCTACGAATTCTCTTTTTTAGATATCAAAATTCTGAAAGAAACGATTCAAGCGAAGATTACACGATGCACGAAAATATATTTCACAACCTATTGAAATACAAAACAACTTTGAAATCAAAGAATAAGACCATAAAAAGTCTTAAAAATAAATTTAACACCACTAATAGTAAGAACGTTTCATGTCTTTCATTCACTTTACATTTAATTAGCTACGTAGCAACCTTCTATCACCCCTGATTGTTTTATCATGAATATTGACAACTACTTTGATAATTTAAAACACGATGATATAAAGCTTACGATATGAGAAGGGGTCTGACTCCTGAATTATTATTATTAAACTCGCCTTTAGTTTGTCTTGAACTAAAATGCAAAGCATATTTATCTATCTGCATGTTTATTTAATTAAAGAAACCATCCCATGTTGTAATTTATCATTCGTATATGAATTTCATTAAAAATTGTCATTTGTTTTATTAGGTAACGCCTAAGTAAGCAACTATCGTTTTTGAGTTTATAAATCAGCACTAGCTAGCTGTACGTACTCTAATTTTTCTGTAGACGGTCCTAATATATGTATATCATGTTATGCTATTACAACAGCTATTAAAGAGTGCATATCGAGGGATGGAAGCCTATCTGGTTTGAGCGTCATTTCGCTTAATACGCAAAATTTATCGTTTCGAATTAAAGGTCCGTTTTATTTGGTATTATCATCAACAAATATTTTTTTTTAATCGAACTTCGATTATGTTTACACCATTCAAATTGCTGAGCAAGTTTTTTTTTTCATGATATTTTTTACAAATTGTAAGCTTTGGCTCTTCTCCTGTTTCAAAAATGTCGCTTAAACCAAATATCCTTTCACCCCTCGATATATTATAGTGTTGAATAAAAGCATTTACCGTGAGATACGCGTGCGACAGAAAACACAAAGAGTATTTTTTTAAAATACGAAAAATCATTGAGGTGGTAATACACATTAACAAAAAAAAATAGATTTGAAAAATCAACGAAACCATTACATATATATGTAGTTTCCATCTTCGTCGAGGTTTCAACCTATTTCTCAATGTATGAGTAAGGTAGGTGAGCTCACGGTCGTCTTGGTCTAAAGTGGCACCACATACAATATATAGTTCTTGCCAATAATACCAAATTAAATTTGTTGTACTTTATTATGTACTACACTAGCTATTATTACTAAATATACTATACTTATACAAATTGTTTTTCGTTTCATTTGTAGCTAATACAGCCATGATTATGAGAGAAGAAAACAGTGCTTTAAGCACAAGAAACCTATATACCACTAAAAGTGAATGCGCTGATGTTCGTCAAAAACAAATTGATACCAATGACACTATAGATTTATTGTTGAAGGAAAATAAAAATATGAGTAATGAATTAGAAAACTTAGCGAATTTCATTGAGCTCTGTTATAAAGAATTGCAAACTATTAGAAACGAAAATTTCAATGATCCCTCGGTTATTCAACAACTAAAGAAAATCATAATATGCTGTGGCCAATATTATGCAGATTCTCAGAACGAACGGAAAAAAAACAAACAACTCGAGCAAAAACATTGTTTTTTGAAAAACAAACTCAGTATATTAGATAAAAATTTAGAAGCTGTTAGCGAAGAAGTTAAATGTCTTCGACTTCACAATATGAGGTTGCAAAATGAAAATAGTATCCTCAAAGACAAGATGAATAAAATTAATAACGTTAATACTGAACGTCGAAGCAAGTCTGAGCATCGAATTCGCGATAAAAGTGAGAATATTAAAAATTCAACAAACAGTATTTATTTATCACCCTGCTGCTTTGATTTGAAGCCTCATTTGAAGATCGTGAGGAAGTTGCTGAACGATCAAAATGAATTAATTAAAGATTTTAAAGCTATGTCCGATATGTTCGTCGCTTAATAACTTTTCGCAAAGATGGTGGTTTTAACAAGCAAATTAAAAAGTATTAATGGTAAGGAAAAGAAAATTAATTAGGTACGTATTTGATGATAAACATACCACAAACCTTTTACGAAATAAATGGTTTTTCTAAATATGATTTTTTTATTCTAAACAAACTAAAAAAAATTTAATATATCAAAATATAATATATTATTATAATAATATGTAGTTTAAAAATAAAATACATAGCACGCTTAAATAGTAAGCCGAACTAACAATTAATTTAATTTTTTTATCCTGTTTGATACCAGTTAGGAAATATCTTAACTGGTATAAAATTTTTTATCCTTAACAATCCTTAATACACTCTAATAAGATTACAGTGAAATTATCAAATTGTATTGTTGTTGTTTTTTTCCCCCTACCTACCTATTCGCTGGTAGCTTATGAGGCTAGCCCAACTACGCCCGGACGGGTAGGTGAGCTCACGGGCCCCACCTGAAAGAATTTACTAACACTAGCCCAAGCAAAAGCAGTGCTTTGCAAAATCTACCACCGGAAATCACGGCCACGTTGGAACTTGATTCTGATGGATCCGTAAGGATGTGCCTAGGGCGTCGACGGTGACATGTACATGATGTATTATTTAATATGATGTATACGTTAAATTAAGCTTTAAAGGCAAATCTTCTGGACTAATGATAAAGCAAAAGAGGCTTACTCGATTAAAGTTGAATGCTATCCAAATGAACCGATGATTGTTTTTCAGTCAATCATCGGTTCATAATCATCGTAACGTTTAAATGCAAACCTGCTTAAAAGCTTTTTGATTATTGACATTTTGCTTTTTCGTTTAAACGTTTATTTCTAACCTAAAAGATAGGGTTTGAAAAATAATGAGATAAGAGCGGCTTCTTTAATTTGTGTGTTAATTTACTTTAGTAGAGATCTGTGTAATGTAGTGAGTACTGAGTAGTAAATCAGAATAATCTAAGAATATTATTATAAACTGAAATACTGCATATGTAATAAGAGAAAATAATAGGTATGTACATATATCTTTATTTTTATCTCAACGGATACCTATCTCAGAATATTAGACTATATTATACTGTCGTATTATGTTTATAGCAAGCAAACTAATAAGTCGTCATTTCTTCATACAAAGTACGACGTTGAAGATGTCTTTAGAACAAGCGAAGCAAGTCGCGGCGTATCAAGCTGTCGATCAATTTGTTACGAATAATTGCATTTTTGGTGTCGGTAGCGGATCCACTGTTGTTTATGCAGTACAAAGACTCGCTGAACGCGTTGAATCAGAAAAACTGAAAGTAACCTGCATACCAACCTCCTTTCAAGCAAAGCAGCTGATAATCAAACATGGACTCAACCTTGGAGAACTTGAAACAAATCCAAATATTGATGTCACAATAGACGGTGCTGATGAAGTCGATTCAAACATGACACTTATCAAAGGAGGGGGAGGGTGTCTGTTACAAGAAAAAATTATTGCATCTTGTTCAAAGAAGCTTATTGTTATTGCGGACTATACAAAAGATTCTGTAAAACTTGGGGATAGATATAAGAAAGGTGTCCCTATTGAAGTTGTTCCTATGGCCTATGTTCCTATTAAAAACAAAATCATATCATTATATGGAGGTGAAATCAAGCTAAGAAGTGCTGTTGCCAAAGCAGGGCCTGTGGTTACTGACAATGGAAACTTTATCTTAGACTGGATGTTTGCAAACCAAAACTTGGATTGGGAGAAAGTCAATAACACAATAAAATTAATCCCTGGAGTTGTTGAAACAGGTTTATTTGTGAACATGTGCTGTAAAGCATATTTTGGCCAACCAGAAGGCAATGTTGTTGAAAGATCTGTTATAGAAAAATGATTCGAGTTAAAACATAGATCGGATATAAGAATAATCTCATTGTATTTTCTTTTCAAGTTTTTTACTATTATTAAAAGTTTATTCTCTAAACACTTTTGTTTGAGTTGAGCGTTTTGATCTCATGTTGAACATTATTTATTAAAACAAATGACCTTTTGTATTGAATTTGTAACAGTGTGATAACCCCATTATTAATATCAGTGACTTAACTGATTTGTGAAGATACACTGTTGAACAAAATTAAAAATTTTTTATTCTAACATTTCCAAATTTCCATTTTGGTGCTTCTAAATTTATTTTATGAAATACATGACGGCATCATGCAATCGTATAAGTATAAAATATTAGTTAATGATCTGGTCATCTTAGGTATCAAAACGTGACAACTTCACTTGTATGATATAATTTTATGCCAAACAAGAATAAAAATGCAGTGGTATGTTTTCTAATCATACTTCACGCTCCACTTAAGTTATGTTAAGAGTAATCTCAACCTGTAGGGGCCAGAACGTAAATTTCGTCGCCTACCTTGACACATGAGGTCGAAATTTCAAACTTATTGGAATCATAATTATCTGCAAATTTAGGCTTGAAATTTTACCATTGCTGTCATAGAAAAATACTAGACAATAACATTAACCTTGGTTGGAACTCAACAAGCCTGGCCTCCATGGATAGAAATTATATTAACTAAAATATATTTTACCGCTAGAAGCTCTATCAGTTTACTTTATGATGAAAAGGTTAAATTGAAAGATTAAAATTTTAAAAGAACGAGACTTAATTTTTGCTGATGTTTGAGGCAATAGACATAATTGATTTTCTAGCCACAAAAAATAATTTTGAACACTCTTCCTTTCTGATGTAATGAAGATCAATTTATTTTAAATTCTCTTGGAAGAACGAACCCCTGATCGTAATGAAGGAAGTAGCTTAATTTTGCAACTTTCTTTTTACATATAGTTACACAAAAACGACCTTCCATTCTAAGCAACATTTTTACTACTTAAAATAAAACCCATATCTAATACACACCAGTATATTTGCTACAAATAAATGAATTTTATTTAAATATTTAATTTGTGCATTTAAAATTTCAATTAGTTTGTAATTGGCATATTTATGTAGTGTTTAAAACATACAGATTACTTTACTAAATTTGTTTGGTTAACTATTTTAGTACATAATTTAAGTGATAAATATTAATTATTAGTGAGAAATATATTTTTAATAGTTTCATATATATAGTTATAACATTTACTCTTTAAATTGGAATGTATTTAATTTGTTTGCAGTAGAAACTCATGAGGTGTAACTTCAGAATAAGAAATACTATTAGGCCTATTTTTTTCTTTCAGGTATTTAGATTAGCAAAATAAAAAGATAAACAAACCTGTACATAAAATATTATACTTAAAACTGAGGTAGCAAACATTCAATGTTTGAAATAAAATCTTAAATTACTATTTTTAAAAGAATTCTGGTAATATTAAAATTATGTCTAGAGATCTAGTTTTGTACTTTTTATAAATATATATTTAATAGAGACTAGTCTTTTTCATGATACGCAAGAATTCCTCTTGATTTATTTCACCATCCCCATCTCTATCAGCTTCATCTATCATTTCATGCAGTTCTTCATCTGTGAGATTTTCACCAAGTTCCTTTGCAACTCTCTTCAAATTTTTGAATGAAATTTTACCTGAAGTTTAACATAAAAAATTTAGAGAAAAATAGTTATAAAATGAACAGTATAAATTTTACTTGTGATTCCCTTATTTTTATTGTAAAATCTATTCTCTGATCAACATACTTTAAACCAAACCAATTTTACATTTCACTAGCAATATCATGAATATGCAGTTAATTTTTAGGCCTATACCTTTCTAAATTTAAGAGAACTTATACATTATTTAAAAAATGCTTTCAATTATAACTTATATATACCAGTTTCGTCATCATCAAACAGTTTAAATGCTTTCATGATTTCCTCCCTGGTATCTTTTTCTGCCATCTTCACTGACATGAGTTCCATAAAGTCATCAAATGATACTTTCCCATCACCTTTATCTATCTCTGCAATCATTTTTTTTATTTCTTCTTTTTTTGGTTCGAAACCAAGGGCTCGAATTGCCACTTTAAGTTCTTTGGTGTCGATTTTTCCAGTATTTTCTGTATCAAATAAATCAAATGCTTCTTTGATGTCTCTTTTTTGTTCTTCGGTTAGCTCAAATTTAGGTCCAGATTTCTTACGAACACCACCTGGTCCAGGGTTGGTAGTTGCAGTTTTTTTCTGTATTGTTGCGACCGCGGTTGCCTGTAGACATATTCGTGAGTATGGAAGTAGATAGCTTAAATATAGTTATGAATTTTATTATAGGTATATATTTACCATGATTTATTTATGAATATCTGTTGGTGTATAAAAGACCAGGAAGCTTTTATCGCTGCACTTTATAATGCAAAATTATATTTGCAACTAAATGCACTCATTTATAAAAATAAACAACATTTTAAATTGTTTTATTTTTTGTCAAAGTACTCAAATTTAACTTTTTTGTCCAACTAGATATGTAAAAGGAACTCCGCTCAGACAGCCGAAGTTTAAAAGTTTAATAGCAATAGATGAAAACCAACATAAATTAATAATGTCCTTGGCAAAATGGTTCACCGAATTTTTTTGATTTCTTTTGTTAGCATTCAGCTCAATTGAGGGTGGAGGATTCATCTTCGGCAATGCCAGGGGCGCGCTCAGGATACCTCTGCCTAGTGTCGAGAAGGTACTCTCCTCCAACCTCAACCTCGTTTTAAAATTGATAGATAATAGCTCTCAGGAATTATCGTGATAGGGTCAGACAAGAAATTTTGCGAAGGCATTCAAGAAGCTAAACGTGGTAGTCTACGTAATCAAAGCGTAAATCCCTCTTCAACCACGAATATCAAGTCTATCGAAAAAATAGATCTGATGATACATAGTCTGACAGCAGAGTGACATAATAATATCAAAATACTCCGCCAAATCATAAGATAGGTAGGTACGAGACAAATAAAAAGGCGTATATGAACGTGCGTTAGCGAGCCTTGTTCCAGATGGTGTTACCCCGTGCCTTCACGATTTAACCAAAATGTCGTAGTATCTATCTATTGGTATCGCTCACACTATGTTTGACATCATCACAGGTGATGAAATCTGAGTTTATTGCTACGATCCTGAGACCACAAATCAATCACCGCAGTAGGTTTTTTTTTTTATTGCTTAAATGTGTGGACGAGCTCACAGCCCACCTGGTGTTAAGTGGTTACTGGAACCCATAGACATCTACGACGTAAATGCGCCACACACCTTGAGATATAAGTTCTAAGGTCTCAGTATAGTTACAAGGGCTGCCCCACCCTTCAAACCGAAACACATTACTGCTTCACAGCAGAAATAGGCGGGGCGGTCGTACCTACCCGTGCGGACTCACAACAGGTCCTACCACCAGTAGGTGGGATTTTAACGTCTTCGGTTCCGGCTTTTTGTTTACGGCCACGAAATCCCACTTATCCCGTGCAGTACCTTGGCGCGGGTATCTCGCAAGAGGTTCCAACCACGACCAGAAAAGGAGTTGTGTGATATCTAACCGGGCGAACTCATAAAACGTCCCATCATCACTAATTACGTCATTTTAATAGTTGCCAACGGGATTTCAACTCCGGCGTAGTCGCTTTTTTATGAATGAAAGATTACTGGGGCCCGGAGGCCTTTCCAGTTTCACCAGGACAGGTGGATGAGCAAAGGCTCGGCCAGGAGGGGTGGGATTTGCTAACAATTGCCCGAGCGCCTCCGAAAGAGACCTAACAACTCAAGAGCAATTGCTTCGCGAATGAATCTACCACCGGATCTGAATCGCGACCCACTGAGAAAATCCAGCGAGAAACTCAGCAGGCTGATGCACGGGTTAGGTAAGGCATAGTCGCATCGCTCGATACGAATGCAGGATTTCTTATCCTTTAGACCACGGTAACGAAAACGAACTTCAATAAAAATAATTTCGATCTCGACTTACTGATGAACATCTCCAGGATTTTATGTCAAAAGCTTGCAACAATTTTACTCCAAACTTTAGACAAATAGATCTCAACCAAAAATTTTATTTTTCTCATCGATTTGTAAAAAAATACCTTTGTTATTTCCGTAATTACATTTTTTTATAAATATTTTTTCTATAAAATGTTGTGCGAACCGCGACAGTCATTTAATTTCTTAAAACGAACGCCGAGCGAAATTGGTGACTGCCTTAGACTGCCCAAAACTTCAGTGCCTATTGTTATAATTAAAACCTTATTAAATATAAACATGTAAAAGTACATAACGACAATATACATACAGATATGTATTAGAAATGAAACAAAAATATTAATATTTCATATATAAATAGCTTTATTCAGTATTTTATACTGTTATATAGTTTTCATGTTCCGACTACGTGGTTTATATGTTAGACATTTCGTCACGGCGCTGATGGTAGGGTTCCGAATGATTTCATTAGATTATAACAGTGCGGCAGTCGACTGCGGTGTCCGATCTTTTGCAGCGTGGCGGCAGCTTGAGCCAGCATGCCGGCCCGCTCGCCCGGCGCCGCCAACACCGCAGCGGGGAGATGCTTGCAAGCCATATATAGGGCTACGGCTCGCTCTCCGTCGCCGCCGCCGCCTTCCAGAGCGCGCTCTACAAGTTACTTGACCGAGTTACTTGACTAAGTTACTTGACCGAGTTACTTGACTGAGTTACTTGACTGAGTTACTTGACTGAGTTACTTGACTGAGTTACTTGACTGAGTTACTGGACTGAGTTATTTGACCTCAATATTTTTTTTTTGTTTTAGCTTAGTTGTGTGAACGAGCTCACAGTCCACCTGGTGTTAAGCGGGTACTGGAGCCCATAGACATTTACAACGTAAATGCGCCACCCACCTTGAGATATGAGTTCTAAATTCTCAGTAAAGTTACAACGGCTGCCCCGCCCTTCAAAACGAAGCAAACGCCTTACTGTTTCACGGCAGAAAAAGGCAGAGTGGTGGTACCTACCCGTGCGGACTCACAAGAGATCCTACCACCACCAGTCATAATAATCAAGGCACGATTATTGATAAAAAAAATAATAGCATGGCAATCATCAACTGGATTATGTATAAGCCCTTTATAAAACTTTTCTTTCTTCGTACCTTCAATATACATAAGCGCTGTGCCTTAAAAAAAATAGGAGACACGAGGAAATACAAGTTTTTGAAAGAAAACAACAAAATAATCAAAAAGAACATTAAAATGGTACTGCGTTATTTGCAGCCCTATTCTATTTGATACGGATATTTGCAGTTAGTTATATAACTTAAATACGGATTGCCAAGAGAATAAGGTAGTTTCATCAAACAGTGTTACAAATAGATACATCAGCTGTCACAATGATATTTCCGTGGTGTTAAGGCTTTCGGCCCAATTTCAATATAATGTTACAGTTTGTAGGATTATAGGATCAACCAAAACTACTATAATTCGTTGGTTCGACCAATAGCTGCTCAAAGTAGAGATATTGGTTTTTTAAAGGGATTTTATGACCTTGTAACTAAGACCTTTAGGTCAAGTCTTATTTTAATTTGAATGAAAAATTTTTATATGAAAAATGATATTATGAAATGAAATGAAGTTAATTAATATAAAATATGGCATGAAACGAATTGAAATCAAATGAACTGAGATGAGATGTGATGATATGGGATAAAAAAAATCTCAGTAAAATGGTGGTCATTTACTGAGACTTATTGGTTTTTCCGGCTTACAGCTGCACAGAGTAGTTATACTAACCCTTTCCGCATATTATAGACGCTCGGTTGAATCTAGGCCGGAGACTCCCGTCGAGCAGTTGTTGTGTCCTGCGCGGCGCGGCACCCGCCATCATGCGACAAACCGCCGATTGTAAGAATACGCGAGATGTAACCCACTAAAACGACATACAGTTCGTAAATATATTTGTTGTTGTGCGAGATGCATTTAATCTGTAAACCTACTGAAACTATTCTAGGCATTTCGTAAATAGAACGCCTTGCTATCCCGAACTAGTTTTTTTTTTCTTCTTTTTGACTCGAACTAGATTTGCATTTCGAAATACTTGTTTTTTTAATTGCTGTAGATACGTTGACGAGGTTGCCGCTTGGTGTTATACTATACTTGGTATTATACTGTACCTGGTATTATAATATACTAGGTACTACACTATACTTGGTATTATACTATACTTGGTATTATACTATACTTGGTATTATACTATACTTGGTATTATACTATACTTGGTATTATACTATACTGGGTATACTTAGTATTGTAGTTAATGTGAATACCGCCTGCGACATGCGGTCGAAGCCTCCATTGTACAGCATAACTGCAGTCCCATCGTTCAAAACCACGGGTGGTAGGTACATGCGTACGAGCTCATAATACGTCCTCTACTACCAGTATACAATTTATAAACAACTCCACAGGAATGGGAAACTTAAGCTGCTGTTATTGGAAACTCGATAATTGCCACACTAAAAAAGGGACACAACATTTGATTACTATTTATAAGATTTAAGCCTGCGAGAGAACGAGATAGAATATTTTGGAAAGTTTCACTTTTACAACATCTACTTTTTTTTACTGCAACTTTTAAAACATATAACTAAATATCCTCTGAAGTAGGAAGTAGGATATCGTTTTGAGGATGAAGGCATTTTTTGGAACTTCTTAAATAAATACTTTTTTTTTTGTCAGCTTAAATTTAGACCCTGAAAATTGTAATCAAACCGGTAAGCTCTGTGACAGCCTCCTCAGAGAGTGAAGGTCCCGTTGGAAGGCTCGCAGCTGTTGATGCGGAGCGGGACTCGACCTGAGGCCGGAGGTGGCCTCCCACACGCCCGCGCGTACCTCTAACATCCAATCGCAGCACAACACCTGCATTAGCTGCGGNTTTTTTTTTGTCAGCTTAAATTTAGACCCTGAAAATTGTAATCAAACCGGTAAGCTCTGTGACAGCCTCCTCAGAGAGTGAAGGTCCCGTTGGAAGGCTCGCAGCTGTTGATGCGGAGCGGGACTCGACCTGAGGCCGGAGGTGGCCTCCCACACGCCCGCGCGTACCTCTAACATCCAATCGCAGCACAACACCTGCATTAGCTGCGGAACAATTCATTTACCATTTCATTAAGAATCCACAACATGATTTATTCCAAAAACAAGTCCAGACAGATGAATTACGACAATCCTAAAACACGATATCAATAATTGTAAAAAGCATTCTAGTTTGGAGCCAGATAAGCATCTGATATTGTTAAATTCATTTAATTCAATGATACCGCGAAAATTTTTATTGCGTAGGATTGTTTGATTGCTTTTTAAGTATTCGCACTTACATCGATTGAATTAAAACATACGTTCGGATTGTCGATAATAACATTCTCACGGATCGTTTGGAGCCTCTGGGTCTGCGGAGGGACTTCGGTTCCCTCTGTATTTTGTACCACATGTTCCATGGGGAGTGCTCTGAGGAATTGTTCGAGATGATACCAACGTCTCGTTTTTACCATCGCACCGCCCGCCTCCGGAGTAGAGCTCATCCATACTACCTGGAGCCACTGCGGTCATCCACAGTGCGTTTCCAGAGATCTTTTTTGCCACGTACCATCCGGCTATGGAATGAGCTCCCCTCTACGGTGTTTCCCGAGCGCTATGACATGTCCTTCTTCAAACGAGGCTTGTGGAGAGTATTAAGCGGTAGGCAGCGGCTTGGCTCTGCCCTTGGCATTGCTGAAGTCCATGGGCGACGATAAACACTCACCATCAGGTGGGCCGTATGCTCGTATGCCTACAAAGGCAATAAAAAAAAAATTTTAAACATGATACAGCAATTGTAAGATTTCGACGGGCGTGTATCATACACCACAAATGTGCTGATAGCGATAATCGAAGCGAAGCGTGGCCAAGAATCAACAGTTCATTGTAAAAATAACAAGCACCTAGACTAGATTGTAAAACACAAAATTCAAGATAATTAAAATTAAGGCATCATTTTTTTTCTCTATAAAATAGAAATTTTCTAATTGCGTGCACGCACTGACGCACGCACGCACGCGTGCACGCACATGTGCACGTAACACGCACGTTCACATGCAAAATAAATGAACATAAGCTGCGAGCTTCATGCGTCGAATGCAACTAATTCGGGATTTGCCTTGTAGTCATATTGCACGTTAATGGAACCGGTGCAATGCAACTACAATGCACTCTCGCTTTAGTTTATCTTCTACGAAGCACTGCAAATTAAGAATTAAAAAAATAAAAACACGTCGTCATTGCTAAAAGAAGCATGCTGTAATACAAACTTAAATTAAGCACATTACGCGATCGAAATAAGAGTAAGATTTTGCTAATAATATTCACACAGTTAAAACTATTCTTTTCATTTAATTTAATATTTTCATATTTTCATAATATTTTCATTATATGGACGGGCAAAATGCCATTTGGTTTAAACGACATTTCGCTTAGCACGCGAAATTTGTCTTTGTAATTAAAGGTTTATTTGGTATTAGCACCAACAATTCGATGTTTTTAATCGAACTTTTATGTTTAATTATGTTTAAGTATGTTTAATTATGTTTATTTAAACAATTTAAATAGCTGAAGAGCTTCTTTTTATGATATTATTCCCAAATTTTAAACTTTAAGCTTTAACTCCTTTAATGTTTCAAAAACAAAAATAGCCTCGATATTATTCCAAAAATTTCGAATACTACTTTATAGTTTTCGTCGTCGCAGACAACTAATACAATAGCAGTGTACTATAGTAATAAGCGCGATATTAAGCCGTAAAAATAGTTACGTAAAAGTGGTTTTAAGTTTTAAATAATATTTAAATAGAATCGACATTAAGGCCTTAAAATTGAATTGTGATTTCGTGTAGATGTCAAATAGTGTAATGTCATTTGAATTTTTTTAAATACCCAAAACGAATTCAGTATAATGTTTTGGCTTTATTCTAAACTTTATTATCATATTATAACGTATTAAGTATATGGAGATACTTATGATATCATTTTCAAATTTCTACAAACAAAGTAGCAACTCCATGACCGGGTATTGTCTAAGGAACTTATAATTATGATAAATGCGTGTTGGTAGATAAGCAGCGGCTTGGCTCTGCCCCTGGCATTACCGAAGTCCATGGGCGACAATAACCACTCACCATCAGGTGGGCCGTACGCTCGTCTGCCTACAAGGGCAATAAAAAAAAAATACAAAATAATAAAACATGCAAAATTGTAACGTTAACTTCATGTGTGTCATAGCGTGCGTTGTGCGTTATTTGTTATTGATAATGTCACTCAGTCCACAGCTCACCATCATCAGTTGAGTCGGTTTCCTGCAGCAGTAATAAGCCAACGAGTCCGCCAGTCGGGCACCAGCAAGATCGCAGACCTGTAAATAAACGCTTTATGTACGCGACTCCGTCCGCGTCGAATAGTTACTTTGGCATAACGCTAAACTTAACCCATAGACACAGCCCAATGAGTTTCTCGCCGGACCTTCTCAGTGGGTCGCGTTTCCGATCCGGTGATAGATTCTGCGAAGCACTGCTCTTGCTAGGGTCAGTGTTAGCAGCACTCCGGTTTGAGCCCCGTGAGCTCACCTACACACGTTAGGGTGAAGCTGAAATAGCCTCTCAAGGCTCTCAGCAAAAGTAGGAAAAAAAAAAAAATTACACCCCCTTTTTTTACGTAGAAAGTGAAAATATTTTGAAACATTATTTATTGGTGCTCCACTTGTATTGGTTTTACCGTGATGTTGTATAGCCTTCCTCAATAAATGGGCTATCTAAGACTGAAAGAATTTTTCAAATCGGACCTGTTCCTGAGATTAGCGCGTTCAAACAAACAAACTCTCCAGCTTTATAATATTAAGTATAGATGGGATCTAGAATCGAAGTATACGTAGAAAAAAAACTAACATGCAAACCTTAATTTACAGCTTTTCCACCAATTAGTACGTATTCTGCCATGAAAATATCAAGAGCTCCAGTTACTAAAGTAGCATAGTATTGAAATAAATCAATAAGAAAATTATTAAAAAAAACGTTTCAATAGCAAGCTGAACCAAATTTAAAATTTTAACGTTATCATCATGATAAGCCGTCAAGAAAAAGTGGCTGAAATGATACAAATTTATATTATCATAATTCCTTTATACGTGGCAAATTTTTCAACGCAATCCGGCGTCTTGAAAGTCCGTAGAAAGTATGTACGTTAAAAGATTTTGTCACATAGATACATAAATGCGGGTCGATTAATATTAGCGTATTTTTCTTATTTCTTAATTAGGTCCGTCAACAGTTGTCACTTTCATTTTATTACAGAGTATTTATTTAAATTTATTTTTTATGTATTTACACGCACGTTTAATAAACTTACTTTTAATATTCCTTTAACTTATCAGCCAATACTAAGCTCTTCTTTACAATATAAGCACTTGGTTGACTGGAAGAGAATTCCTTGGGCATTAAAACCGTCAATGTACAACGTACGTAATTACACACATACACTTGCATATAATGAAGAAAATCCTTTCGTAAACTGACGAATGATGATTACAAAATTATTAATACGACTAATATCACAATATTTACGGTCGAACACAACATGCATTAAGCATTAATAAAAATGGGGTAAATTGATAATTGAATGTTTTAACGGCATACCTTGAGGATTGTTTCCGATGTCCTCTCGACGGATCGCTCATCCCGACACTGCGCGAGACTGTACAGTCCGCGTCTGCTTTTGTACGCCATGTGCAAAGCGCTGCGAAAAACACAATGCCCATAACTCACGTGTTTACAATACGAAGACAATAGTTATTAATTTCACAACTATAAACTATGATTTATATTGTTTTATAAACATTCTATGCGATTAGACGTTCGAATTGTGATCGTACACGCACAGTTTACGAATTAGTTTTTATTTGTTATACACGTTCGCTGTACGAGGTCATATTGACCCGTAAAAGAAATTTTAATGCGGCGCTCTGAGAAAAGCAGCGTGGTAAGTGCATATAGGATTACTGGTGGCCCGGAGGCCTTTTCAGTTTCACCAGGACAGGTGGCGAGCAAAGGTTCAGCCAGGACGGGTGGGATTTGCTAACAGCTGCCCGAGCGCCTCCGAAGGAGACCTAACTACTCACGAGCAGCTGCTTCGCGAATGATGCATATTCTAAAATACATCTGTTTGAAGTGGCCGTGGCCTACAGGATAAGAAGATCGGTGTGTTCATATCGAACGGTGCGCCTAGACCGATGTTCGAATCCCGCAAACGGGTACTAGTTTTTCTAATTAAATACGTACTTAAAACATGTTCAACGAACGAGTTCCGCGTTGAAGCGATAGGCTCGTGTAATAAAAACTTTTTTTTTGTCATAATGAAATGAAAACAAACCGCCGCTTCTAGGTCCTATAAGAGGGCTATTGCCAAGGCGAAGTCAGGGCACGTTGCCAGAATTGGCGAGCGACTGAACAGCTATCCCGTCGGGAGCCGTGCTTTCTGGTCGCTCGCTAAGGCTGCAGAAGGTAACTTCTGCAGGTCTAGTCTCCCACCACTACGCAAGTCCGATGACAGTCTGGCCCATAGTGCGAAAGAGGCTGACCTTCTGGTCAAACTCTTCGCCTCGAACTCGACCGTGGACGACGGGGGTGCCACACCACCGAACATCCCCCGGTGTAATAGCTCCCTGCCTGAGATCTGCTTCACGCAGTGTGCAGTCAGGCGGGAGCTCCGACTCTTGGACGTCCATAAGTCGAGTGGGCCAGACGGCATCCCTGCAGTGGTTCTGAAAACGTGCGCCCCTGAGCTGACGCCTGCGCTAACGCGTTTGTATCGCCTCTCTTATTGCACTAATAGGGTTCCGTCTTCATGGAAGACTGCCCACGTNGAATCTAACTGTAGGATTGAAATGATTTTAATAGACCTAGAAATATATATTTTTTTGCGCATCGAATATGATTATTGCCTATCATTTATGTATAAAGCAGTTATTGTCGCTTAGTCACGTTTGCCTTTCAAGCGTCGCAGTGCTTTTGATTTGAAGTGTGTTAAAAATAAACGAAGCCACACCCCGGTAGTGGGTCTTCGCAGTTGATGAGCGACTCCGGCAACAGATCTAGCCTATCGGCGATGTCGACCGCCCGTCCTGTCTCAGCCAATAGCCAAGTGGCTGCGACGCCGACTATGTTCGCCCACCATTCCATCACCGGATCCCAGCAACCTGAAATATTGAACTCCTGTTGTATTTTTATATTATAATGTGACATTCAACTGTGCAGCTAAATTCTGGACTCCTATTTGTATTTATCTACGTCAGATTAAACCCCAGTCATCTCACCTACTCGCCCTGTGGATCTAGTATAAACCCTCGTGATTATTAGAATAGGTAGGGGAAAAAAATATTATGTTTGTAGGCAGTTTTACATCTACACTATTTCTACAGTGAAGCAGTAATGCGTTTCGGTTTGAAGGGTAGGGTAGTCATTGTACTGTAAAAACTGATATCTTAAAACCCGTCTCAAGATGGGTGACGGTATTTACATTGTTGATGTCTATGGGCTCAGGCAACTACTTAAGGCCAAGTGGGTCGTGAGCTCACCCTGTCTCTCTCTCTCTTCGATCGGTCCCTCACTGCTGAGGATCGTGACTCCGTCCGATTCCGAACCAGCTGATGTGAGCTCACCCATCGAAACAAAAAAAATCGGTCCTACTGATGGTGAGCGATCACAGTTGTTCATGGATATCAGGATTGCCAGGGGCACAATTAAAATTATCAAGCTTTGTTTGAAGAAAGACTTGTCATAGTACTTAGGAAGCACTGTGGAGTGAAGATCATTCTAGAGCCGTATGGTGCGTCGCCAAAAAGATTTATAGAAACGCACTATTAATGTACGCTAATTCTAAGTAATATCGAAGAACTTTATGAAGATTTACTTTTAGGGTTCCATATTAAAATAACAATTACAACTTAATTCTCCTGTCTATTGGCGAGTCAAACAAATTTGCGGCACACTATTGCAATCGAAAATTCTATAATAGTGCTTTTTTTCTTTTTCCTACCTAATCTGATAGCCTTAAGAGGCTATGTCAGCGTAACCCTAACTTGTAGGTGAGCTCTCGGGGCTCAAGCCAGGAGGCGTTGCTAACACTGGCCCTAGCAAGAGCAGTGCTTCGCAGAATCTACCACCGGATCGGAAACACGACCCACTGAGAAGATCCGGCGAGAGAATATAATCGTATGACGTTCCTTTATAGACAACATATCTAACACAAAGTCATGAGTACTCACCAGTGTGTTGGGGCGCATCGGTTGAGACGTCGTCGGTTATGAATTTAACGAGATCGAGAACGTCCCGAGTGTTTGTCCGTTCGTCCGCGCATAACAACATCTGGAGACTCCTCTGTAAAATCTCCAAGTGATACGCCTGGAAAGGAAAGAGTATTAGTAAAATCGAAATTCTATTAAGTCTTAATTTTTTTTTTGAAGTGAAATCTCTAATGCTAATGCTAAACTTCCAATAAGGTTGCGTTAAACGTTTAATGCTACCATACTAGAAGGAGACAGAGCGAGAGTGAATGCGCGGCACTCGAACGCATGCGCGTAGTATACGTGTTACAGGCCAGCGCGAGCGTTAGCAACGAGTAGTGTCCATTATTTTAATGAATTAATAAAAATAAAATTTTTTTCTTTTTTTCTATTTATAATTTAAAATTATACAACGTGTTACAAAATACCCCATAAAAATATAATTAATTATCAAAGTCAAAAATTTTGTCAACCCTAGTAAGCTGTCATGTCAGGGAACAGGGTATTTAACAGAAAGGCCTACGTACCTATTTTAACTAATATTTGTCTACCTACTTTAATACTTTTTCTATTTTTCATTCAGAAATGTTTGGTATCTCAATACAAGGATGTCGTACTACTCAAGTACTAAAAAAATTACATGTTGGGAAAAAAATGTAGGAACATCCTGCGTAGTTTACTCTGTAATTTTACTGAAATAGGGTTTGCACATCAGTGAAAATAATAATAATATTTTTTTTATATTTTGGGATATGTTATACAGCGTTACTACAGTTCTTAAATATTGTGAATGGACTCGTTATAAGGCCTCATTTAACCTCCTTTCGGCTTTACGGGTAGCTTTGTAACACCCTGTATATTTAATATAAATCTTGAAGACGTCGCATCTCTTATACACAGCATTCCCTATTACAAGAGCAATCTGATTTAAGGATGAAACATTAAGAAAACCACAATACTGCACATCGAAAGAGAAGTTTCACTTCATTCACGTGCACCAAGTTGCACTGTTTTTTTTTTTCAATTACCCTCATTGCATAAGCGAGTGGGTCTGCCGGGTCGGGCAGCCTGGAGAAGAGTTTGGCGGGGGGATGGTCCGAGTCGTACGACCACCTCTGGGTGCGCAGGAAGTGCTGTCCGCGCGCGCTGGCCGCCCACCGCACCCGCACGCTGCACGCGCTCCACCCGCCGCACGACTCCGCGCTCGCACTACGACACGCGCGCAAGTAATACCTGAAGCGACAAACTCATCAACATCTGACATTTAAAGAAGAAAACATCCTTAAAACGGTAGAAAGGTCAAGAATCAAAAAATTTTTATTCAACATAAATGAAAGTACATTGTTCGAAACCAATCCGTGGGTATTTGAATTTTTACCACGGCTACACGGGTCGCGATCTGACATCTGTCACTTTGGCTTGCTTCTCGAACGGGACGGTACCCTCATATGTGACGATCTACGCTAACGATTTGCATTATCAGTAATCCTTATGCCTCCTGCCACGAGGGTGCTGGGTTCGGATCGAACATACATACTTGCTGAACGTCAAAAAGAACTACCGCCAATTCACAAAAACTAGCCTCCGTCCTGAGAAGAACTGGCAAGAAACTCAGCGGGCATGTCTTTTTTTTTAATAATAGTTTTTTTTTATATTAGATTATTTTTTAAATATTCATTTTTACAATGAGTATTATAACGTAACAATTATTGCATTATTTAAATGCCCGGAGCGAGCAACTCATTCCTACTTTGTGCAATCTTCTAGATAATCATTGACTTTATAGTAAGCTTTATTGCACAGATGTTCTTTCATAGTTTTCATAAACCTATGTATATGTAGGTTCAGAACATCTTATGGAATCGTATTGACCTAGATTTAGTGTAGGCCGCAAAATAGACTGATAGAAAATGTTGATCTATTTGTAAACACCGATCCCTAGGATGGGTGAAACAATTTAAATGCCATTTTCGNTTTTTTTTTAATAATAGTTTTTTTTTTATATTAGATAATTTTTTAAATATTCATTTTTACAATGAGTATTATAACGTAACAATTATTGCAATATTGAAATGCCCGGAGCGAGCAACTTATTCCCACTTTGTGCAATCTTCTAAATAATCATTGACTTTATAGTAAGCTTTATTGCACAGATGTTCTTTAATAGTTTTCTTAAACCTATCTATATGTAGGTTCTGAACATCTTGTGGGATTGTATTGCCCTAGATTTAGTGTAGGCCGCAAAATAGACTGTTAGAAAATGTTGATCTATTTGTAAACACCGATCCCTAGAATGGGTGAAACAATTTAAATGCCATTTTCGTTGCCATGTTGATGAAAAAATTGAACATTTAAAGAGCTTGTAAATAACGTAGTTTTTTTTAAATAAGTTTTTTTGTGATACTTACCCGCACAACCAGTTTCCGATCTTAGGCATATAATCTTTAAAGACTAAAGCCGCCGTGACGTACGTGTCGGCCAGTAATTGTCTGTTCCCGGCGACCTCAGCCAAATTAATCGCTTGGAGCGCTAGCAACAATCGTTCGCTGCGCCCTCTGTGATCCGACAGGATCTCCAGCTGGGCTAGTTGATGCGAAACAGAAGAAACCTCCGTTGCCCAGTGCAACGTAGCTCGTCTTGTTGGACTAAAATATATTGCAATAATCAGTAATTGAAAAATTATGTTATTATAGTGCCAACATAATATATTATATATATTAAGTTAATATATTATACTAGGAGTGGGTAATATCGGTTTTGCCGCGTATCGAATCGTATCTATATATCGAGGATCAATATCGGATATTGAATCTATATATTTTCTGAATCTATATATTGATGGATGCTAGTAGATTTTCTCGATTCATGATATTTGAGATTTGAAACGATACGCTGATATAATATCGTAGTAGATATAGATTTAAGTCAACGTTATACGGTTGGTTTTCTGATATCAATTTATAATATGATCTTAAAGTAATAAAAAGAACATGAAAATAAAAATATCAAAAAAACTTTCCTTCATGCTTTTACCAGGCTTAGGACTGGCTACATTATTTTCAGTTTTTAGTATTTTGTGTCTTAATTTAAAATTACAAAATATACCAAAANTTATTGGAGTTTTAGTAAGGATCCCTAATTTTTTCATAAAATATTATAGCCTATGTCACTCGGGAACAGTGTAGCTTTCAAAGAGTGAAAGAATTTTTCAAATCGGTTCAGTAGTTTCGGAACCTATTCAATACAAACAAACAAATCTTTCCTCTTTATAATATTAGTATAGATTTGCTGAAATTTTTGTTTTCACCTGTCCCTCCACAGATCTCCAGCGCGACGTGCAAGGAAGCCACCGAACGGTAATCTCTGCAGCAACTGCCGAAGCACAGCCGCTGTGAGGGCCGTGTACTTAGCTTGACCTGGGCCACCTGCCTGGACACTTCTTCCACATGCTTCCAATGCTCGATGGAGTTCTAGTCGCGTATTATTTAGATCGCCCTGAAAATAAAGTTTATACATGTTTTACAAATTATTTTATTATTAATCTAGTTTTTGTAAATATGCCCTGTCTACATAATGCTAAAAGGGACGAAAGGATAAAGACACTGGTACTATATTCAAAACACAGCAATGTATCAGTAGCTGTATTCCTTAACAAATAGATACATATTTATTTTCATTATATGAACTTCAGATATAAATTGGATCGAGAATTAACTATTTATTTATTATTTATTTGCAAAGCAGCAATGAAATGCATTGTTCAGGTATAATTAAATTATGATTCACTTACCTTTTTGAGATGGTTGCCAGCAAGCCTTTTATGTTTGTAAAATAAACCAGCTTCCTTGGACTGACTTTTTGGTACAGAATCTCCATAAACTAGTAACTTTACCAAACAGCCTCCAAGTATTACAAAGTTAACAAGATATATAAAGAATGTATTAAAAACCCAAATCGCCCAAGATGATCCTTCATAACCTGAAAAAAAGTTTAATATATTTTTAGAATTGCAAAGTTTTTAGTTCTTAAACCAATATTTCAAAAACTACACTTTTTTGTATAAAACTTATTTCTTTAAAACTGATTTTCATAATAGGATACACATAAAATATTAAATAAAAACAAACTTGAATCATCTTCTGATAGAATTTTCCTTTGATCAATTCTTGCATTGAAATCTGTAGTTGTATACTCTGTTGTAAAACTGCTAAAGAATGTGCTAAATGGGTTGAAAGCAATAAGCCCAACCATGAAGGCACATAACGCCAGTCGTGAATGATCACCCATACCCATTACTATCTTTGAGTATTTATCTTCAGTCTGCAAATTCATAAAATTAAATATGAATTTTCTTTAATAAACAAAATATCTTCTTTTAATAACAAATTCGGATATGTAAACAATTTAGATGAAAAAAATCTTATACACAAAATTATACTTCGAGGATATTCCAACTGGAATATTATGCTAAGTAGTAATATACTCTATTAAAAAATTACCTTGTATTCTGGTGAAGAAGGTGTGTCGCTGTCAATTGAATGTGGAGAATGATAAGGTGATGACACATCACTATGTGGCGGAGTATAACCTCCTTCAAATATTGGCTCTTTAACTCCAGACTTTTGACAAACCTGTTTAAGAGCTATATTTTCTTGTTTTAACCTAGTGTTCTGACTTCGCAAATACTTAATGTACTCAATTGTTTTACGCAATATTGCTGACTTGTTCAACTGTAAACAGGATATGAGGAAATTAAACAAGAAATTCAACTTTTCAAAGTAATTGTTATTAAAAATAAGTATTACTGGTTACCTTAGCCTCTTCACCAACAAGCATATTCTTCAATTCCACTATTCTATCATTAATACTAGTTCTGTAACGTCTTTCAATGGCATTGTGAGCACTGCGTTTCACTTCTTTCACTTTTGGAGGTCCAATGTTTGGTGCAGGGTTTAAAGCAATTTTATCACCTTCGAGTACAACTGCAGGTATTCCCGTCAATAAAGTAGTACCGTTACTGTTTGTAAAAAATGTGTGTATGGGTGTTGTCTCCGATCCTGCCTTTGCATTTGTAATAATATTTTGGTTCGTGCTTGAAACTGGAAAGATAACAATTACTGTATTTTTTTTTTTTTAATAATGTGTGCAATGATAAACCAGTACTGGATATATTAGCAATATTGAGAAAAAGAACCATGTAAACTTGACTATCATTATCATAACATCATAATAAAAAAGAATTTGCCACATCTCTGTACTTACCCTGTAATGGAGTACTGGTATACATCAACGTTTGTGTCTTTGGGTTAATGATATTCGACTGCAATAACACTGGTGAGAAATTAGAATCAGAACTTTTTAATATAAAAGGTACACCTTTGGGATTGTTTTGTATCAGTAGAGGTTGACTCTGCTGTTTTAGGGGGCTAGTTTTATTTACTTGTGGAACATTATCAACTTGAATGACATTTGACCTTTTGTCAGGCATAGGTTGGATATTTCCAGCCGGACCCAAATTAACAAACACGGGGCTCTGTACTACTTGTTGAAAAATCATCGGCTGATTTTGAACTTGAGTCCTCTGTTGTGGTATAACTTCAGGAAACGTCACGGACGCATTCTCAAGGGATGTTGGCAAATTGAATTTCTCTTCTTTAATATATCCACCTTGCATTGGTTTACTGATCGGGGGCGTTGGCCTAATTCTATGCGTGTGCTGTGACATCACTGGGTTCCCGGTATGATTATAATTTGGCGAAACTTGTGGAGATGATGAAATTTCAGGCTTGCATTTCGTATCAATGTCCAACAGCCCTGTTTCATTTGTATTGTCCACAAAAGTAAGTTCCTGTTCTAATTTTGTCATAAAATCCCCATCGCAATTATTTAAAAAATCTGTAAAATAACATTAAATTGATATATGTATTGCTTATCGTGTTCACACTTCGCAATAGTCATAAGCAATTACACTTGCCTTCAATTTCTGCAATGTCGTGGACATTGAAAACGTCCGCATTCATAAAAGGATCAATATCCATTTTTAACAATTCTTAAACCATAAAACCATAACAAGAATTTAATAAGGTGTTTTTGGAAATTATTCTTATTTACAAATTTTGGCATTATTTTGACGTTTATCTGATGATTCTCCATCGACCAATCGGTGAGAGCTATCCTGTGGTCCGATTTTACGTCACAGTTTTAGACTGGGTGCATATTTTACATTCGCACCGGCCCAGAGTATGCCGCACATTGGCAGATAGATCCAAATTTTCACCAGAAACCACACAAACTAATATAAGTATTGGCGTAAGAGAGAGATGCAATGAAAATTGCAAGTGTGGCACGCATTTACCATTATCGCCCAAAACTAAAATTACATACATTCTTATAAATTATGTTGATATTGTCCTAGGATGTGAAAGTGATATGAGCAAATATAAAATAGTATGATGTATGCTTGTGAGTAACAAGTTTTTGGCAATGTTCCGAGCTATTGTATACTACAACAGAATGATATTCTGTTTTAAGCAGTGTAATCTTTAGCTATAAATAGCTCGATTATTTAACAGTAATTCAGTTTGAATTCATTACTGGAGCCCGTTACGACGGGCTAGTAATGAATTCATTATGTAGGCAAAAGAGTTTATCAAATGAAATTTTTGGCGGGAACGCAAGGAGCGAAGTTGTCTGAGTTGTTTTATTTTGTATATTTAATGTTTCTTTGGGTTTAAATGTTTAATAACGGTAGTTTATTAACTGTTTAGTATCTGTGAAAGTGCAGAAATGTGTCAAAATGAAACAAAGCCGATGAACGTAGCTTTTCGGGATCCTCCAAAAAATCCACTGGAAGCACTCCAGTGGCTATATACTGATAAAATCTCAGTAAATAACCTCCATTTTACTAAGAGTATGTTTCATCCCATATCATCTCATCACATAATTTCATTTCACTTCTTATATAAAAAAATTACAAAAGATTAGGCAGTATGGCAGCATACCTTTGCCTTTCCAGTTGGAAAAATAGAATTACTACTACTTTAACAAATGTCTGAAACTGAGATGAATGAAGTTAGCCCCTCAAAAAAATTTTTTTTTCCTATTTTATACTTATTTTCTATTAATTCGTTTGTTCATCATTTGTTCATGATTGTTCACTGTTAATAATTGTTTGTTCTGCAGTTATTTATTTTAAAAAAATATTTAAAAATATACCTACAAGTTAGCCCCTCTAATGCAATTTTTAATATTTTTTCATCCTTAATGACTCGTAAATATTCATTTTCGATTGTTCTTATATAAAACACGTTTGTTCTCTTTCGAAATTACTCGTTTTTTGTTTAATTTACTATTTTTATTAGTTAATACATGTATGCAAAATATGTGTACTGCGCATGCGTCAACTATAATGCCTAAACTTTCTACGCGGTTTTAATCGTGAAAAAAAAACAAACATAAATCCTGAAGGAGCAATTAATTGGTATACAGTTTCATTAAAAAAAATAAAAAAAAATTAATGAAATAATGTGCATTGGCGTTAAGTTAGACCAAATACATTTTTTCCATCCTCTTACTTATCGTTATGAAGGTATAAAAAAGATAGGGAGTTCACATAGGTAATATAAACAAATAAGTAAATATGTTCATTATTT